TATATATATATATATATATAAGCCTTGGCAGGAATGAGTGTGCAAGCTGAAACAAGCTCATGTAAAATGGGCCTGATGAGCTAAGTTGCTCGTCTGGAGCTTTTTGATACCAGAGCTGACAGTTTGAATTTTTTTTTTTTTTTTATCACTAATGACGTTTGATATCATAATAAATTTATTTAATGCATTTTAAAACAAGTGAGTTTGTGTTTTAAAAAACAAAACCTTTATTTCTATTCATTTTTTTTTAGGTTTGATTTGATTTATGAAACTACATACATTTTTAATGGTAATGTTTTTTCATGACCAAAAAAATAAGTAAGACACTGTATCATTGTTTTGGACTAAAATCTTGTCTTTGAATCCCTAATATTAATTTGATATTAACAATGATATTAATGATGATTGGCATGATGTTCATCATCAATAAAAAATTTTGCTATGTTGTTAAGTTTGACAAATAAATATTCCATACCAGTAAGTTAGTGCTCCAGAAACCATAGCAAATCTTGGTCCAAATAATTGTATAAATGGTGGCGCAATAAAATTTGCCAGTGAAAATACAACATATATGATTGCCAAGCTAAAAATACAATTACAATTAAAATTCCTTTCAAATAATGTCTTATAGACATTATTCAGTTTTTTCAAAAAAAAAACTATTTTTTTTAAGAACAACAAAAAAGGTATTTTTTGTTCTTCTTGTTTATGTTTGTATAAAGTTTATTTTTTTAATTTTTTTTAATGACATGACAAATCGATTTTTATGAATGTTTAGTTTACTGGATATTTTATTGAGCTGCATTAAGAATTCAATGAAAACATTGAGTTTAACTTATTTTCATTATAAATATGTTAATTATATGTATATATGACAACTCCTAAAGCATGTAAAACCATGTAAAGAATTCATAGTCCCTAAAACACGTAAACTAAAAAAATTATTATTCATTAAACAAATGCTTATATTTACTGTATTATAATTTATCTCTTTGTTATACTGTATTATAATTATAACTTGTTTTTCTGAACAGCAGCCTTGTTCAACATTGTATAGTAACAGCAGCCTTGTACGTCAAGGTTTGTGCTTCAGAAATTTAAAATTTAGAGAGTGTTGCAACAACAATTTGCAAAAAAAAAAGAGAAATAATTGTAGACTACAAGTAATTTTTCTTTTTTTTTAATTTTTCAAACTACAGGGAGTAGTTAAGTTAATTTTTAAATAAACTAAATGGTAGTTATATTAATTTCTAGTTATAAATCACTAATATTTTACCAACCTATTTTTATTTTGAATTAGTGTTCTATTAATAAATATTTAAATGTTTAATAATAACAACTAAAATGTAAAAAAAAAATTTTTCATTAATTTTTTTCTTTTTAAAAGCTTTATTTTAAAGTATTTGATAATCATTTTATCAAATACTTTGAATAAAGCACTTAAAAAAGTAAAATAAATAAATAAAATTGAAAAATAATATTTAAAAAATTTAAATAAATTAAGACTTTTAATAAACTTTTATTTGATAATCATGATATCAATATATATTTTTTTTGTTTTTATTTGTTTAAAAAAAACTGTTTTTTTTTTACGAAGATATTTTTTTTTTTTTTACTGATATGTGAATCTTTTAAAGATAAATACTTGTAAATGAGAAACTTATTGACAATCATAGCAAACGGAAATTAACATAATAAATAAATAAAATTTAAAAACTTCTTAAATTAAGATAAAAATAAATAAATTTAATTTTTACTTAAAATTTAATAATTATGTTTAATTTTTAAGTTTTCTAATTTTTGTTGAGCTTTGACAAATCAAAGTGAGTTAAATGCAATGAATTTGTACCAGTATCTTAGAACTACAAAATATATTTTTCAGGTTAAAATATAGTGCTAATTATAATATGATGCTAACACAGAAAAAAAGTAATGTGCAAATTATGATAAGATGCTATGACAGGATACGTTGACTGGAAAAAGATGACATGTTTAGGCAGAGATTAGGAGTAGTAAGTGTTTTCATACAGTGCATCAGGAAAGCCTGTAGCTCATAAAACTATTTAATGAAAAGAAATAAAAGGTGAAACCAGCAGAAGAATGTAAAATTAAAAAAAGTTCAGAAAAAAGACCAGAAACAACAAAAACAACAACAACAAAGAATTATTATAAAAAATATATAAACACCAATAAATGAAGCAAAAAATTACTAACCTAATGTACCCAGTATCTAAAAAGAAAAATTTTAATTGCATTTTAACATATTTAGAATCAAATGAAAAAATAAACTAGATTTGTAAAAAAAAAATTGTTAATGAAACATTTTTTAAAAAAGTTGTAAAATAGAAATTGTAATTTAAAAAATGATCATAAACAAATTACTAGTAAAGATTTTTTCTCCATGCCTTTCCACATTATTCAAAGCAGCAGTCTATAAAAAATAAATAAAGCTGTATAGCTTATTTTTTTCCAGAAAACTTATGTATGTGTGTAACTACTGTTTTATAACAGATAAGTTGACAATTGTTAAATTTCAGAACTTTTTATCAATCAACTGGGGAAAACTTAACAAAACAGCAGATAAAATGCTTGCCATGTCCCTTATAATAAAAACTATAGATTAAAACTTTTTAAACTGTATCTAGAACTATAAAAAATGAAATACCTTGATCAGGTTAGTTTAAAATCTGCCTAAAACAGTTTTTACTACACTTGAACAAAAGTCATTTAAAAGATATCAGCAATTCTAAAGCTTTTAAAAAAAGCTGTAAAACTTAATCTTATGTTAACAATTTTTTAAACTTTTATATTATTAACTATTTTAATATTGAACTGACTGTTTCTGCCATTACTTATTTGTGCGTGGTTGTATTTAAAATATAACATTTTATTAAAGTTGCTTTATACTAAATGAAAGGAAGTTTTAAAATAACATAGTAAAAAATTTGGGAGTATACAGCTTAAATAGCTGTAAACCCCTTAACTCCCCCATTTAAAACAATCTGAATTTTTTATTTTAGGTTTTCCAAATGTCAACTACATGTTAATATTTTCTGGCTGATGTTTTTGGCCTAATATGCAAGCCTATTGAGCAAACTCAACATATTTGTCAGCAAGCAACACATTTTTCAACAATCTTTTCCCAATTGAATCTTTTAGCTTTATATAAAAGGTATTCAGATAAAACTTCATGAAAGCAAAGGTTCTATGCAGAAACTAAAGCAAACTTATAATAGAGACCACCACTTTTTTTTTTTTCTTAGAATACTCAATGTTGCACTCTTTGAGATCCAAAACTTAACTCAGGCAATTTTTGGAAATCTTAGATGCTATAAAAACTTTATAGTTGTAATATACTTGTAAATTAATTTATTTTTACCCCATGTTGGGTCAACTGCTGATTCTTCAAAATGATTTAAAAGTGCTTCAAAACTTTCCCATACTGCAAAAACTGAACAGAAACTAGATAACACCCGTTGTGTACTTAAAACTAGATTGTTTTCAGCAGCTGAAATTGTACTTTTCAGCTGGTGAATATAACTTTATAATCTAGTAAACCTGCGCATAAATATAACTTTTAATAAAAATTTTTTAAAGAAGCATGATAATCATTTATCATGCTTCTTTAAAAAATAAATAATTTTTTCAGTGAGTAGTTTGACAAAACCACTTTTGCATCCTAACATCACTGCTGCGCTACAGAAAATAAATTTCTTTAAGCATCAATTACTCCCTTAAATTTAGTTCCACTAAATATAAAAATAAATTGATTGATAAATTCCACTGTTTTTCTGTTGTTCCACTGAGAGCACCAAATGTATGCTCTCAGTGTCACTATTTGACTTGTAGTGAATAACTCATCAATCATTAACAAACTCTTAGATTTTATGAGTTCTGCAATAATTTTTTTCCTTATTTTGTTACCAATATAATTGAAAACGTGTTTGTAGAATGATGAATGATGAAAAGGGTTGTACTCTTTTCCACTCATTTTCATTTTCATTTTCATTCTCACTCATTTTCCATTTCAAAATTATTAAAGGGCTGATTTCCTTTTGCAACTTTATATGCAGTTCAAAAAATCTTTGCTGCTTCAAATTTTTTTCAAATATAAAATATTTCACAATTTAATGTCAAATATATTACAATTGGTAATAAATTTACTGTATCGATAAGCAACTTATAAACATGACTTCTAATTGTCTTATTGAAGTGGAATATGCTTTCAATTGACAGTGTGAGAGATATTTCTCCATTACTCTTACAGGGACACTAAAATTAGAGACCATACCCAATATAAATAGTAATGGTTATATAATATGATAAGTAATGGGTATGTTTTATGTTGATTTAACTATACTCTACACCATATTTGAACAAAAAAAAAATTAGATTAATCTAAAAATATAAAAAATTAAAAGATTAATAAAAATTAATCTTTTTATTTTTTATATTATACACCTCCCCGAAGCCAACAAGCCCACTCCAGTCAAGTACTTTATCACAATTACAACCTTCTATAAACTCATTAATTCCAAAAGACAAATAAGGCGGCTGCATATAGACACAAGTTGAGCGTGGCACTACCAGGGACATGGTAGAGATCAAACTTTTGTAAAAATATTTGTCTACAGCATTCAGTTAGTCTAAATACAAAATTTCACTTTTTTTTGTTTTTGGACTTGTTACATGTCATTGTTACAGGTTGAAATATGTTGATAACTAAACTTTGGTTTGATCGTAGAAGAAACAAAATACTGTTTTTTTCCTTCTACGATCAAAAACGTTTTTATATTAGGGAAATGCTTTTAAATAAAGTAACAGTTACTGTTACGTTTTAATTTAAAGTAGAGATGAAATTTGTCTTTTTATGCAGTAGTTTGATCATGGTGGAGATCAAACTTCTTGCTTATGAAGCAAAAATATATATTTAAAATTAAAATAAAATCAGATTTTGAATTATTATTTGCAAACAAAATTTTAATAAAAAAATTGAATCCTTTTATTGAATAGATAAAACACTAATACATTTTGTAATCTAGTAAAATAAGCTATTATACAAATTTCTCTCAGAAATAGCAAACTATTTATATTATTAAAAGATTTTTGATGTTAAAGTAAAGAAATATGCAATTTTTGACAGTTGACGCATCCACCCCTCCTCTACCTAGCTCACCCCTAAACTTAGTTAACCTGAATAAAAAAAAGTATTTGTGTTTTAAAAATTTCTATAATATAAATATTTGTTTTGTTATTTAAAATAAAGGTACATAAACCACATTTAAATATATTGTTTAGGTAATTTGTCATAAACTAATTTTAGGTATGCACTTTAAAAAACCAAATTTTATGTTGAAATTCTGTGCCAGAGAAAGTTTTTTTTTTTTTCAATGTTTCTTTTTCAGGATCCAAGATCATTTTTGAAAATAGAAAGGCTTGATTTTTATGTGATATTTATGATGGTTGACCATTTTAAATCAGACTTTGTTAAGGTTGAAATTTAGTTGTTGAATGTTAATGTTAAAGGAATGCTAAACTTTTTTTTAACACTATACAAACTTTTTTTATACACATTATATAAGCACCTGCCAAATTTTAAAAATCAATCAAAAATTTCATTAGCATAAATTAGTTATTCTTTGATTAGTTAAGAGTAAAGGGATTGTTATTGAATCAACTACCAATATAATTATACAAGTTCTGGGCGCAAAAAGCAAGCAAAACCACAGAGCATGAAATATGTTTTTCTCCATCCAGAGGTTCAGTCACATATCTGCAAAAAATCAAACCCATTTCACTTAAATGTTTTGCACTTTTTTATCCACAAAATGTTCTCACACTTATGCTTACACAGACATACAGACACATTAATTTTCTCTCACATGCAATCAAACCAGTTGATGAGACATATATGATGTAATATGTATCTGCAGGGCTCTAGCAGCTTTTCGAACCTCTGCAATTAGTTTATTATAGCTGAGGTTGGCATAGCAATCTTCATTGTTTGTTTCCTTTTGTTGGCTATTTGTTTCTGCAAACATTTTTTATCTTGTCAAGAGTCAAATTCCATCTGGTTGAAATGTCTTGTAAAAGTGACTTTTTCTTTGTCCAAGTTCATTTTGTTCTTGTTCTAGTTTTGCAGCACTTGCTGGACTGTGTTTAAAATGGCCCACCAGCTTTCTGCATTTGGCCAGGGCATTGTCAAACATGCTGTTATGCAGAGATACTGTGACAGATTGCTGGAGACTATGTAAGCTTTGGAGACTATGCAATGCTTTTAAAAGGCAGATGTCTAGCAGCATTCATTACTGCCAGAGCATGTAAATGGAGTTCCCATTGTTCATACAATGTAATCTACAGTAACTCCAGGGTAGTTATGGTTACCCTGTGATGTCCAGTAGTCATCGGTGAGGGCAACAGTTTTCGCTTCAATAAATTATCAAGTCTGTAGATTGAGGCATATATTATGCTGACTTTTAGGCTTACAATAAAATGGAGAAGAGCTTTGACTAAAAAAGTTAGTTTTTCTTAGTATTCATTTATTCTTTTGTTTTAATCAAAAAAAATTTAGCCCAAACATTTTTTTTTTATCATTCTTTTTAATATGAACACAATATGTCTAGGAGGTTTTAAACCCTTTTATACATCTTAATTATACATTTTTAAACATTTTAATTTAAATTCAATAGTTCTGTAAACTAAAGAATGACAGGTCTGTTTTGAAATAAATCTTGTGTAGTCCTGTCAATCTTTAGTTTAATGAACAAGTAAATTAAAGTTTATTTTTCACTTTCACACTTTCAAAATAAAAATGTTAACGCCCAATAAACTAATTGTCAGCATTAATTAATGTGTTAACGGCAATAATAAAGCATTAATTTGACCAATCCTAAATCATATAAAAGATATTGTCATTGACATAACACCCAATATAATGATAAAAATTATAAAAAAGATAATATTACAAATCTTAATACTATATAATATTGTTATTATTAAATTTAGGAACCATTAATTCAACATCATTATTATTAATATTAATAATACTATTCAACAGCAACATATTATAATATTAAAAAAAATTATTATTTTATTAGATTTAATAATTAAAATTATTAAATAAACTTATTATTATTATTATTATCAACGATAATAGTTTATTAAAACTATTAATCCAATTTTATATTTGCAGGCCTCGGCCGGAAGCTAGAGTTTTAGCTATTGCTCTCTTCCACACTCACCTAAAACGGTTTATAGGAGTAATTTATGGCTCTCGCAAAAGTATAATTATCATAACTAAAATAAAAAACACAAAGTGTTTTTTTTTTTAAATTAATTGTATAATAAACTGCAACGCTTTTGCAAGAAAAAAAATGTATATTAAAAAAGAACGCCAATTTAAATGCAAATGTTTCTGTTAGATTGGACTAT